GATTTATATGCCCTTATTATAGCCCTTCCAGTCTGTTTCCTCCTTTGCTGAGGGGTGCCTCTTACTGCTGTCCAGCTAAAAATCTCAGGAAATATCTGTCTACAGGAGTAGGCCTGCTTTACTGCCCCGTAAAGTCAATGCCATGCACCGTAAGTAGCATTTTTGAAATAATGGAGTGGGATGGTTAGGCGCATTTATGAAACTCTGAAGTGATTATGTTTTCTGGAACTTGTGTTTCACTTGGGTGGGGCGGGGCCTCCGCGGGTGTGAACAGTGCCTGCTACGGGGAGTTACGGTCCAAAGTTTTCTCAAGGCCCTGCAGAGTTACTCCACCAACGCCAGCAAATTAACTGGCCGGTTTACTCAACAAGCTTAGCTCTTATTTAAATCACACTGTTTTAGGTTGCTAGCATCACTCAGCCCAAGTCTAGGCCTGCTCTTTTTTCAGTGACTCCGCTCATTTAGCGCAAGTGTAGCGTTTGATCCAGGAACAGTGTATCTGAATGAAGAACCTGAAGGCTTCATTAAAGAGCGTCTTCCCTCCCTCCCACCTCCCCTTTCCAGGGATCCCCATGACACCGCACTGTATTTCCTGGGACCTAACTGAAACTCGTTTGCTCTCTTTGCCAGGCGCAGCTGGTGCTGCCTGAGCACCCGAGAAGGTGCCCCCCAAACCCCGCCCCACCTCGGTACCCCCAAGCAAAGTGCTTTCCTGTCACAGGCGCTGGGCTGCTGAAAGACACGCCCCTGCCCCCACCTTCCGCTCCCACCTCCCCAAATTATACTCATCCCTGCCTGTCTGCTTCTGTCACTTCGATAGCTCTTTACTTTTGGATGGAGACAAGATATCCGCCCCGGCGAGCCCCTGCACACGCGGAAGTTCTGCTTCGACGCCATCTCGTACCACAGCCCCGTCACCCTCTACGACTGTCACGGCATGAAGGGGAACCAGCTCTGGGGACACAGGGAGGTAAGGTGGGCTCACCTCGGGGGTTCTCGTCCTGCCCCACGTAAAGCTGCCAGCCCCTGCTCAGCTGCCAGTGGTGCGGGACGTAGGTGTGCGCGTTTGCCTCACGCGTTTGGAGACGGGCAGCTGAGACCAGGAGAGGTGCGGCCGCCTGAAGGGCCAGACCTGGACTTTGTTACCTCAGGCTCATGACTGAACAGTGACTAGGGGCCAGCAACACACAGCAAGGGAAGGGAAGAGGTTCTCACCCAGACAGTGCCCAGACTGAGGGGCCCAAGAGACGAAAACGTACATGTGACTGTTAAGGACCCCAACCCTCTCTGTCACTCACCTATACACACGCACCCATTCACACCCCTATTCATTCTATGTCTCAGGTCATTGCTTGGAAGCTATCTGGTGGGCAGGACAGTTGCATTCACATAAATATTGACACCCTCATGTAGATGTAACGGTTGAAACTCTCACATACAACATGGCTGAAGCCTGCCCACCTGTAACTCAGGAGAACTTATTCGGGGAATTTAAAGGTTTAAAGAATTATCAAGTCCACATTTTGTATTAGAGAAAATAGTTCAGAGACATATGTAAAGTCAGATTTTATTGAGTTGATGAAATCCAGACCAATTACCATCTTCAAATGTTTTCATTAATTGCAAAGCTGTCAGACGGTATCCATTAGCGTTGAGCACGTCTGCTTGATGGCCAGTAACTCCATTCCCAAGCACATCTCAGGGCTCCTCAACAGAAAAATATTACAGTGTTTTTTTGCTTTACAGAATAATATGTCGAAATGAAAATGACATAGCTCCGCTCAATCACATGGATGGCGCATATAAAGTAATCTAGAGTTAAAGGAATCAGATACTAAAAATAAGAAGTTTTCATGAAGTTGTCTGATAACTTTTAGGTTACTATACAATTTTTATCAACTCCTTGGATTCTTAAGGCAGAACTTGGCTGTCAATTAGCAAGTGCTCCAGAAGCTTTTTTCCGCCCCTCAGGTGCACAGAACTGCTGGAGTCCTTCCAGCCAGGTGTAGAAGACAGCCTCTGTTTGCCTTTTCATGCTCTGACATATCCAGCCTCCCCCTAGGCTAGGAGGAAAATGTCACACCCGTCTCTGTAATCATGAACTTGGCTCTCCCTCAATGAGGCTAAGTTGTCCCTGAAATGACAGGAAGCTAAAGGGAAGAGTTTGCAGAAAATCAATATAGAAGGTGGGGTGAGAGGTGGCAGTTTTAATAGTCATTCTCTCACTTAATAATCCCTGTGGTATCTACTGCATAGAAGGCACCTAAAGTCACATTAAAAGATTGACAGTTTATACATGTTTATCCCCCCCCCTCACACACCACCCCACCTAGCAGATAGTGGCTATATGTCCCCCCAAAAAAAGTACAAAAGGTCAAACTGTCATATCCTGTAAAACAATTAAAAATCCAAAGCGCTAATAGCATGCTATCACGTGCACTCTGGGAGGCCAGGGAGTCACTGCAATAGGAAAATATCACTGTTGTCTTTATAAATGACAAAGCCTATTGCATCCCCTTGCTCTTCAATATTACACTGTCTCGGTGTACAGCAGTAAGAACGTTTCAGTTTTGTGTGGATGGCTCTATTCCGACCTTTAAGAAGCGATTTGCCAGGTATCCAGGAAGCCCCTGCTTCGCCAGCAGCCTGGCGTGGCAAGCCCCAGTGGGCAGACCACCTCTCATTACTGCAACTTACAGCACAAGGGACAGAACACTCAATAATGTGCAATTAAGCCGGGAGAATACAGTTGTTTTCATTAGGGAGCTTACAACAGCTTACAGATGGATAAGACCAATAAATGCCCGTGCACACAGAGCTCCTGGGGAGACAAAACACAGCTTCGGGGATTTCTAGGGGTAACTGGCAGCTTTAAGACTGTAATCCTCTCCAGGACCCTCAGGGCTGGTGGTAGAACCACCAGGTGCCGTTCGCGGTGGTTCTTAGCTCTCTTTGTAGCTGGTGGCCTAGCGTTGCTTAGCAAGAGGCTACACTCACTGTGTATTTCTGTAACAAGCAAGGTATTTATACCTAATCAGGAGAAAGCCACAGGCTCACAATGGCAAGTTCCTGAAATATCTCATCTTGATTGATGACGCAGGCTGTTCACGCGTACCTGTTTTAGAAAGATGCTTTAGTGTGTTTCCAGGGCTGTGCCCAAAGCGTAACGAGAAAAAGCTCTAAGGCAGAAATCCCCCTGGGGTGCTGCCCTGCTGTTCTGCTGCACTACCTGGGGGAGCACCCCCTTTTATTGCATATTCCTGAGTGAACGGGGATCCCTTAAACTATTCACTGTCTGAAGAGGCTCAGTGCTCATCTCCTAAGGCTTAAAGCAATCATCACCGACCATGAGCGAGGCACTGCGCCTGCTTTGCGCAGTAACCTCGGCCCCACAACTGTCCAGGGACTATCCGAGGCAATTCACAGGGGAGGAAGCTGCTACAGGACTGTAGCCGAGCCAGCGCTCAAACTTGGGTATATCTGGCTTTAAAACCTCTAGTCTTTGCTCTGCCACACTCTTTTTTTTTT